CCTACGCGATAACCGCCCTGTTGCACTGCAGACAGAACAGAAGGCGTGGGACAAATGTGAGTGGGGAGGGCTGTCGTATGGGAACCAGACGAGGGCGGGGCAGCGGCTCGCACGTGAAGCCAAGCCGGGGGCTGCGCCCTGCTCCTGTGCAACCCGGCTATTCAGGGAAAGCTGCCTGCCTGCAGTGGAGTGAAGCAGAAGAAGACTGATGGGTGGAGCTGGGCTGCAGCAGCAACATGCAGCAACGGCGCCGGCACCGGCAGCTGCTCACGTTGCCTAAGTGCTGGACCGGGGAGGGCGGTGGCCGGCCCTGTCGGTGACAAGAGTGCTAAATGATTTGTGAGCATGATTGTAACCACTAGCTTGAGGAGAGCATTCTGCAGAGGGGGTAGTCAAGAGTCTGTGGGCGCCAGCTGCAGGGCGCCATTCAAAAATGCCAAGCTGCAGGAAGGCGTTTCCCGGTCCGCCCGTGCGTCCAAACCTTTTCTAACACCATTGGAATGCGATCAAGGCACGTGGCCCGCGAGTGAAGTTGGTTTTCAGGCGGTTTTGCGCCCACTGACAGGTGGTGGGAGCTCGCTGCACACTTGTAGGGCGTGTTGGCCCGCTTTTCAAGAGCCCAATGAGTGTACAAAAATGGGTGAATCGAGCGGCTGGCGGGCATGCACGCATGAGGGCGTCCAGGCCCTAAGGTGGGCAAGGGTGCACGTGGCAGAGGTGCCTTCTCCCGCTGCCAGCTCATCAACTTGCTCAGCCTTCAACGCGCCACCCCGGGCGAGTAGTGTCTGAAGGCCTGATCGATGCACGCATGATCGCAGCCAGGGCGCCCCTCCTGCGTGGTCTCGGCAGGCGCACTTCTCCTGCAGCTGCAGACCGCGGCAGACGCATCTGGAACGGCCCCCAGCGGGCCACACAGCTCCATAGCCACGCCCACCGTGCTTCTAGGCCGGCGCAGGGTGCTCCAGCAGCCGCCGGCCGCGCTTCCGTCGCCACCAGTGCCATGCCGCCAGCGGTGGGTGCGCCCAGCAGATTCCTTCTGGAACCAAGAGCATGTTCTAGATCAAATGCTCGGCCTGGGTCTGTGCAACCTTGCATGCATGTGCTGCTCCAATCCCCTATTTACTACTTTTGCTGCCTTCTGCTCGCTCTGCCGGGCTGGTGTGCAGGCCATGGCGGCTGCCACCGCAGCGCCTCAGGTGGCCATCATCACCACACTGGGATGCCCCTACTGCAAGAAGGCCAAGGCGGCCATGCAGGTGGGCGGGGGTAGCATTGGCATTGCTTTTTAGTTTGCCGCTTGCAACAGTGCGGCAGACCAGGGCAGGGCTGATAGCACGGGATGCAGCCTCGAGTCCAACCTGCCTGACACGTCGGCGCATGTGGTGCCGCACGTGTGCAGGCAGCAGGCATCCCCTATCAGGAGTATGAGCTGTCGGAGCAGCTGGAGGTGCGGGCAGCACCTCTGGCCTGCCTGCTTGGAAAGGACACGGGCCGTCACTCCCGCCGTGTCATCCGGGCCCCTCCCCAATGCCACAAGCTCAGCCGCGGAAGAATCGTGCTGCTCCTGCTGGCCCCCTGCAGGTGCTGAGCAAGATCAAGGCCACGACCGGCCAGAGCACGGTGCCCCAGATTTTTGTGGGGGGCAAGCTGCTGGGCGGCGCCTCAGATGTGGTGCCGCTGGCGCAGAGCGGCGGCCTGCAGCAGCTGCTGGCGAGCACGCAGGGGCCGCCGCTGCCTGCAGAGCTGCAGGCGGTGGTGGAGCAGGCGGTAGCCGACGGGGCCGAGGTAGGGTCTCGGCTGGCCTCGCGCGCTCAGCCCTGCATGCCTTCCTAATGCGTGCCCGCCAGGCTTGTCACCCGCGTGCACCATCTGAGCGTGTTGCTGGGCTGGCTGCCTGGGCTGGTGGTGCAGGCCGAGGCGGCGCAGGCTGAGGAGGGGCCGTCCCCGCAGCTGCGCCAGCTGGCAGCCGACCTGCGCGCCGCGCAGCTGGGCGCCGGCGCCGGCGCTGCCTTCGGCCTGCGCCGCGCCGCGGAGTGGCTGCAGGGCAGCCGAGGCCTGGCGCCGGGTGCTGCTGCGGCGGCTCTGGGCGAGCTGCAGGCGGCGCAGCTGCTCACTGTGGCGGATGCCTCGGCAGCGGACCAGCCCATCACAGCAGGGCTGCTCCAGGGCCGGCCCCAGCTGCCGCTGCTGCTGGTGGCAGATGCCCCGCAGCCCACCCGCTGGAAGGAGCCGCTCAATGGGCAGGTCGTCTGGTTTGGGCTGGCCCGGCCTGCGGCAGAGGTGCGCTCCAGGGGCACTCATGCCACACAGCCGCGAGCAGAAACGCCCCTAATGTAATTGCTTTCCAGCTCCCGTTTGCCCCTTGCCGGCCCTGGAAAGTCAGGCGCAGCCCTGCTGCTGTGTGTTTCCACCCCCCGCCTCCTCGACCCCGCCACTGCTGCTCCACTGGTGTGTCTTTGTTGTCGAGCCGCAGGTGGCGGAGAGCCTGCGCAAGCGCATCCTGCAGCTGTACGACAAGTATCTGCAGGACGGCGGGAAGAAAGTCAACTACAGGGCCCTCAAGGCCGACCCCGCCTTTGCCGAGTTCGCCGCCGCCACCGCCGAGCTGCAAAAGGTGAAGCTGCTACGATGATTCCCTCTGGCTGCTCTGCTCGCCGTGCCATCCTGTCCCCTGCATGTCTTCCTTCTCCTCCTCACCTGTGGTGACGCGTTCGAATCTTTGGGGTGCCCGCCCGCCTCCTCGCCTGCCTTCCAGGTCGACCTGTCGGGGCTGGCCACCCGCGAGCAGCGCATGGCCTTCTTCATCAACATCTACAACGCCCTGGTGGTGCACGCGCTGGTGGTGTTTGGCGCCGCAGACAGCAGCCTGAGCAGGTGCGCTTTGCGCGGCGGTCCGCGCCCCCGACGCCAGCCTCAGCGCCCAGCCAGGCAGCGGTGTGTCGGCCCTCGGCGCTGCCACGCACAGGCAGCACGGCGCCGCCTGCAGCCCTGCCCGTCTGCCCGGCGCGGCATGGCTGATGCCGCGTGGTGTGTAGGCGTATGTGAGCAGTCCTGTGTTACGTGGTTGGGCAGTCTCTGAACCCTTCGTCACCCTGGCTGGTGCACGATTGCCACATGCCTGCAGGCTCAAGTGGTTTGATTCCATCAGCTACCTCATCGGCGGCCGCCGCTGGAGCAGCAACGACGTGGAGCACGGCGTGCTGCGCGGCAACGCCCCCAGCCCCGCCTCCCTGTTTGCGCTGCTGGGCAAGCCGCAGTGGGCGGGGGCAACCTTCAAGGCGGGAGACCCGAGGGCCGCGCTGGCAGTCAAGGTGCGGCGGCATGCTGGGCCGGCGGCGCGCACACATCCCTGCGGCAGGGCAGCCGAGCCGAGCGCCGGCAGGGGCCCTGCTGCCTCTCCCTAGGCACTGCTGTTGAAGCGCCTCTTTCAAGTGCCCGCCCGCAACTGTTCCTGTCTGCCTGCCTGCCCTCATAACTACCTGCCCTCATGCCCCAACCTTTTCCCCTCCACCCGCCTCGCAGCCTGTGGATCCCCGCATCCACTTTGCCCTCAACTGCGGCGCCGCCTCCTGCCCGCCCATCCGCATCTACACCCCTGAGAGCCTGGACTTTGGGCTGGCTGCCGCCGCCAGCGCCTTCTGTGCAGGCGAGCACGCCCCAGAGCCTGCCAGCTGCTGCCGCCCTGGCCTGCATTTGCACGGCATTGGTGGCCGGCCCTTGGGCTGCTGCATGGGCAGGCAGGCCAGCCACAGCTGATGGGTCGCTTTAAGGTGTACAGAGGCTGAACTGGCCGGGGGCACGCTGGTGCGGCTTCCTGTGTGCTGTGCTGCAGGCGAGGTGCAGGTGGACAAGGCTGCCGGGGAGCTGGAGCTTTCCATGATTCTCAAGTGGTGCGCTGCTGGGCGCCTGGCTGGCGTGTGGCATGGAACGTGGCCGGGCGCTCGGTCTCAGCTTGCTTGCACTGCGGTACCGAGATTGATCTGTACCGCCTGGTCCTGCTTGCAGGTACGGCCCAGACTTCGGCTCCAAGGCCCAGCTGCTGCAGTTCCTGGTGCAGTACCTGCCACCAGGTGGGAAGCTGCGACCTTCCGTGTCTTTCTAGATTGCTTCAAAACTCTAACCTGACACCCTCAATCTCGCGTCCGTCCGCTTGCTTTGCTCACACTACCCTCCTCCACGCTTCCCTGGTGTATTTGGGTGCTGCAGGGCCGCAGGCAGACCTCAAGGAGCTGCTGGCGGGACGGTCTGCCGAGGACGTGAAGCTGCGGTACCGGCCGTACGACTGGACCACCAACTCCACCGACTGAGAGGCCCCATGGGAGAGGTGCCGTCTGCTTGGTGGCTCTCTGGTGCTCCTGTGTTTGAGATGAGAACTGAAAGTGCTGGTGTGGCTTGAACCGCTACCATTTTGTTGTACCCTCTACTGTATGCCTGATTCTTTCTGTACCCTTGTTGATTGTCGTCTTTGGCGCCGCAGCGCTGCTGTAACACATATTGGATGGTTGCTTGCATGTCGGTGGCTGTCGATCAAGAGGGATGTGCATTCAGGGTCGGAAAAAGACAGGTGAGCAGTGCAGGAAACAGAGGAGGAAAGCGAGAAGCATGTGCAACACGGGCCAGACACGTGGGCCAATGCCCTGAGGTTCTAGGGTGAGAACATAGCGGAAATGACAGGAAGCCCCCCAGCCAGGACAGGAAGCTTCCCGTCCAGGAGGCTGCAGAACGGGCCCAGGCCTCACATGTCACTGGCCCGCATCACGCGGCCCGTCCCCTCGTCCAGGTAGGCCGCAGACTTGAGGTCCAGCTTGTCCAGGCGCATGGTGCCCAGCAGCTGCTCCGGCAGCGTCTCCCCAGACTGCGGCGAAGCGAGCGGTGGCAGCAGGTGACAGATGGTGAGGCAGCGTGTGGTGTGGGGTGGCAGGGGAGCGGAAGCGGGGGGCCTGGATGGGACTGTGCGCTGGTGCGACCTGAACGCAACCCTGCCCCTCGCCCAATAAAACAACTCCTCCCACGCAACACAAAGGCCAGCCAGCCCAGGCCGCACCTGGCCCTCGATGAGCACCCCCATGTCGATGGTCAGAGACTTGGTGGCACCTGCAGGCCGGCCGGCGAGCAGGCAGCTGAGGTGCCCGCGGGGCGGTGGTGGTGCTGTGGAAAGGCGGCCCCACACAGGGCGCACTCCCGGCCCGACGGCAGCGGGGTGGAGGCGGGAGGAGGAAGCAGGAAGAGTTCAGGCGCGGGCGCAGCCAGGGCAAGGAAGAGAGAGCCCACCTGCCACCAGGTTGGTCACGCTGGCTGCCACGCTGCTGCTGCTGATGTCGACATCCACCTGCCAGGAGGGGGCGGGGAGGGGTGGCACGGTGGGAGCTGCGGGCGACGCCCACACCAGCAGCTCCCCAGCAGAGACGGCAGGCATCCGAGCAGGCTGTTCCACCCTACCCCTGCTGCCCACCCACCTCAAAGTAGTTGGGCCCCCGGCTGTACTTGGTTGTTAGCTTCTGTCCAAGGATGACCGGCGTGGTGCCCACAGACTGGCGGATGATCCAGGAGCCTGCGGGGGCGGTGCGCCGCGGGGCGATGGGATGATCTTCAACAGTTGACGACGGACAGCTGGCCGAGAGGCGCTCAGGAGCATGCATGCACGATGTACTGGAAACTCTTGAGCCACCAACCAAGTTGCAACGCCTGGGGGGGCCTGGTTCCCTTGGCTGCACAGCGCAAGACGCCCCCGCTTGGCGGAGTCAACCAACGAAGAGGGGCACCGGCGCACCCTTGGCGATGTTGGGGATGAGCTTGAACTTCTTGTTGCGCCGCGCATCAGCCTCCTTGCCGTCGCCCTCCAGGAAGCTGCGCCGCCCGGGTGGCAGGCACAGCAGGCGCAGCGCACGCGGTGGGTGCCAGGCAGGTGCGCCAGGCGGCTGGGGCAGGCGTGGCGAGGCCGAGGCACAGCTGCGGCGGCAGCAACGGTGCAGCTGCCAGGCCCTGGCTCTCCCCCCAGCCACACGCACAGCTCACACGCCTCTCCACTGCTCACTCGGTGAGGGCGTGGAAGAAAGCGCGCACAGAGTCCGAGGCGGGCCCCTGCTTCTGCTCATACTCGGCGATCAGCTCCGCGGGGGCCCTGCCCACCACGGGCGTGGGGGAGGCCCAGGAGGCGACCAGGGAGATGGGCGGCACGCACGGCACCATGAGTTGCACGCAGAAGATGAACGGCGCGGGGCTGTGCCTGCAGGGGGAGGCAGCAGTGGAGCAGAGGGTGGCTGAAGAGGCTGGTTAGCTGGCAGGCCAGCTGGCCGGTGGGTCAGTGGGGTGGGGGCGATGCCGTGCAAGGTGTGGGCAGGCCATTGGACCTCTCCCCCGGCCCTCCCTGGCCCCAGGCGAGGGCTCCCACTCAGCAACCGAGCAGGATCCCCCATGCCGCTGCCGCCCCGCTGTGATCCCAGCACACGCACCGACCCGCCAGCCACCCCCCACCTAGGCGCTGCCGGGCCCAGCGGCACGCCCAGGCAGGGCCGCGCCGCCCCAGCGCTGTGCTGGAAAGGCAGCAGCGCCCTTGCCTGACTGAGGGCAGGAAGCGTGCCACATCGTACAGATGGTCCTCCAGCTGCAGCAGGTCGGTGGCCACCTGCAGGAAAGCAGGAAAGGCAGGCAGGCGGGAAGGCAGGTAGGCAGGCAGGCAGGTGAGCAACCAGGCAGGCAGGCAGGCAGGCGTGGAAGCAGGCACCTCAAAAAGGGGCCTGGTGGCAGCAAACAGCAGCAGCGTATGTAGCAAAAAGACAGAGGAGAAACAAACACGCAAGCTAAGCAGCAACCAGTCTCAAAGCCGCGCGCCGGCACCTCACCAGCTCAAACATGGGGGGCGTGGCCGCAACTTTCTTCTTGTCTGCCAGGTAGGCGGGCCCCCGCACCTTGAACCCGCAGTCGCCTGCAGCGGAAGATGGCATGTGGTGTGCGAGACTTTGTTGAGAGCACGCCAGCGGAAAGCCACGGCCGTGGCACCCGCAGGCAAGCAACACAGCACGGCAGGTGCAAGCAGCGCCCGCCGCAGCCCTGTATCAGGTGCACGCAGCTGCGTATGCCTCCATAGTTGGCACGCGGGCAGCGGCAGGAGGCCGGGCAGGCCTCCAGGCAGATAGCCAGGCAGGCGGTGCACCTGGGCAGGACCAGTACTGCGACAGGCAGGTACCGCCCACGGCCCAAGCGTCGGCAGCCTCACGCTCCGCTGCCGCCGCCTCGGTCGCCCCCTCCACCTCCTCCTCTGCCAGCGCGGGCAGGGGGCCGGCCGGAGGCGTGGCCGGCGCGCCTGCCGCCACCGCCTGTGCCGCGAGCTGCTGGGATACCACCAGGGGTTCCTTGCGGTACGCCAGCATGGTGGTGGTGCGCTGCAGCATGCGGCGGTGGGACGCCTGCGCCTTCACGCTCCGCTCCTCGGCCTCCGCCGCCGCCTCCTCGCCCGCCGTCATGGACAGCGGCCTGCGGGAGCAAGCACACAAGCCTGGGCGTGGGCAGCCGGTTGCGAGAAGTGTGAACAGCCCGCACCGGCAGGCATGCCCCGACCCGAACAAGCAGACAGCACAGCACAGCACAGCACAACACAGCCGCAGCTGTGGCAGGCAGGGCTGGGAGGGCCGGGGAGGCGAGCGGAAGGCAGGAGGGAGGGGAGGAGGCAGGGGCCGCCCACCTGACCACGAATCTGTCCTGCTCCACCTTGTCCCGCAGAATCACCACGCTCGTCACCACCGGCTCCAGCACAGACCGCATGGCCAGGGAGGAAAGCGGCGCCGTCAGCCTGCCCAGCATGCCGCCCTCTGCAGCCACCGGGCAGCAGCGGCAGGCAGCGCAACTTAAGCGTCACGGCTGGGAGCTGGGGAGGGAATCGGATGAGCCGTGGGGCCGCTTTCCTTGTAAGCCATGCGCCCGAAATGGCAGCAGGGCGGCATCTGCTGGCTAGACCATCGGCTCGGCCTTGGCGCCCAGGCGCATGCGGCCAGCCCGACGCACACGCCAGCATGAGGAGGTTGGCAGCAAAACGAAACAAACTATAACTGAAAACGTGCCTGACAGCCAGCCCCCCATGTCTGCCTTGAGCACCAGCGTCACCAGCGACTCCTGGGACTCCTCGCTGCCGCCCCGCCGCACATACTTGCTCATCAGAGGCGACACGGTGAAGCCCGCGGCCTGCGGGCGGCAGCGGCGCAGGCGGCGGCAGGGCAGGCGGCAGGCAGAGGCGCGTGAGCGGAGCGCGGTGTGGTGATCAGCCCGCAGGCAGGAGGGCCACGCAGTAGGCAGGCAGCGGCACTGTGAGCCTGGCGGCAACGAGAAGCCTTCGGGACGGCAGAAGCCATTCAGGCGCGGCTGCACGGCAGCACACAGAGCCACCACGTGCCTGGACCTCCACGCGCACGGGCTTGTACCAGCCGCCGCCGCGAGCCCGCGGTACCGCCCTGTGCTCCACGCTCTGGTACAGGATGACGTACGTCTCGTCCTCGCGGTCCTGCCGCCAGGTGCGCAGCAGTACCACCTCGCGAGGCGCGCACAGCCTGCAGGAGGAGGCAGGCGGGATGGGGTCCGGCGCATGGGGGAGCCGCGGCAGCGGCGGCGGCGGCGGCAGCAGCCATACAGGCCAGGGCATAGCAGCATGCCAGCACACCGGCACAGCCAGCCAGCCAGCACAGCCAGCCAGCCAGCCAGCCAGCCAGCAAGGCGACCACGCCCGGCGGAGCTCACCCTCCCGCCGCCCCTGTGGGCTTCCACTGCTGCGCGATGATCTGGGTGTTGGCGTCGATGCGCTCCACCACCCGCGCCCCCATCAGCACCCCCAGCCCCTCCGCCTTGCGCTGCTGCACCAGGTTCCGCAGCACGTCGCTGGGCGGCGCGCGCACCACAGCGCTCACCTGCAGCCGGCGGCGCGCGGCACGGGCGGCGAGAGGGGTGGGAGGCGGCGGCGGCAGCGCAAGACGGAAACCCCCCAGCGTGCCATCGCTTGCTGCGCGGCTGCCTGACCCAGCTGCTACACACAGTGTGCGTGAGCAAGGCGTAAAGCTCAACCACACACGCACACACACACACCACCACCACCGCCACCGCCACAACCACCACCACCACCGCCGCCATCACTTTCTCCCCTCTCACCATGATGGCCCCGCCCTCCCCCTCAGCATCTTGCTCCTCCACATACACCGCCACGCCGTTGACGTGCAGCACGCTGGCCCACGCGCGGCTGCGGCGGGCGGCGCCGTCGCCGCGGCCGCCGCCGCCGTCGGGCGCCGCGGCCGCGCCCTCCTGCTCCTCCTCGCCCCGTGACGCTGCAGGGGCAGGGCGGGCGGAGGAAAGCAGGCAGCACACACACGCTTGCAGCCACGTCATGGGCGAAAAAGGCTTTCCAAGCCGTAATCCATGTTGCCAGGAGCGTGTGCGCCGTGCCCCCTCCCAAACACCGCCCACTACACACCCACACACACAAACTCTCTCACTATCTCCCTCTCTCTCTTTGCGAACACACACACTCTCTCTCTCTCCCCGTACATACACACACCCACAGCATCCACACACACACTCTGTGCCACCACCACACCGCCACCAGCCCGCTCACTCTCGTACGTCACGCGGCGGCGAGGTTCCATCGACTGCGTCGGCGGCGCAGCCTCCAGCATGCTGCTGGTGACAGAGGCGTCAGACAGGCTGCTGTCGGAGCGGCTGCAGGGACGGGGACCACGCACGCAGGCTGGGAGGGAGTGAGCAAACAGGGTGAGGAGGTAGGGAGTGAAACGCGGGCTGAAAACCCGACCCAAGCTGCAGATGCACGAGAGTCAGCCCAACCGCAAGCCACCACGCTGCCCAGCCAGGCACCGGCAGGCTGTGCATGCACCAGCAGGTGCAGGCCGCGGGGGCGGCGGGTGCGGTGCTCGCCTGGGCCTGCGTGCCGCCTGCCGCTCGATGGCCCCGGCAAAGGCGGCGTGCCACTCCTCCGCCTGCGCCCACGTGTCAAAGGCCAGCTTCAGCACGTCACCGCCCGCCTGGTAGCTCTGCCAGGTGATGGAGAAGCCGTGCATCTCCACTTGGTCGTACTTTCCTCGCGCCACCGCCTGTACGCCCAGGGCAGGAAGTGCTGGAGTCGGCCGCGATTCGCCAGGCAGCAGGTGTGGCCCTCAGGCTGTGCACCCATCTGCGGGCGCGGCGCACGCTGCCCGCCACGTGCATGCCTGCCCAGCCAGCGCCTGCCTCACCATGAGGGTGCTGGTGTGCTTGTGGCGCAGGTTGTAGGTGGCCGCCTGCACCTCGCTGACGGTGGTGTCGGCGCTGATGGGCCACACCTTGGAGGGGCTGTCGTCTGCAGCAGCGGGGAGGGGAGGGGACAGGCCTATGCAAACACTAGAACGGAGGAGCATGGAGGGAGCTGGGCAGCGATCTGGGGAAGTGGAAGGGAGCGAGGGGACAAGGAGGGAGGGTCCCCGCCTAGCAGGGGGAGGAGCGGACTCGTCGCAACCGGCTGCTGGCTGCACTCCGCACCCGTCTCCCGCCGGTAGGTCACAAACGTGCTCGGGTAGAGCGCCGCATATCGCTTGTTCAGCAGGCGGTCCACCACGTTGCTCTCCCTGCACGAGGCACACACACCCCAGGTGGCGGCAGGTGGAGGAGGCCAGGACGCCAGCGGCGGAAGGCGGCAGCGCAGGCTGGGAAGGGCCAGGACGCTGCACCCGCACTCCGCACGGTCAGAATCTCCCCACAGAGCCCTCCTGGCGCTGTCTCGGTGCTGGACGAGCGGGGAACGCCAAGGGGCTGGTCTCGGAGCAAGCGGTGCCGCTCCCTGCTCACCGGGCAACCCAGCCGACGAGTAGGGTAGCCTCCTCGGCCGGCACGCCCGACTTGGAACGCCCGTGTTTGCCGCGCAACGGGGTGAAAGAGCCAGGCATAGCTGCGGCGCTTGGCCCCACTTGGGCCCACTTGTGCTCACTTGATCTCTCTTTTGACGGCCTGGGGCAGCCGATCGCTCAGGGTCGAGTGGGCTCGACAAGTGAGGTGGCGTCCGCCCCGCTGGCGGACGGGCGGCCGCTTGCTACACCGGAGAACAGTCGTTCTGGTGCAGGCTCCACCAGAAACCCAGCCGGCACCAGTGCCTGGCGCAGAACAAAGTGCTGTGGCGCATTGGGGGGCCAGGCAGGAACCAAGGCGGCGATGGCGACAGAGCCTGGCGCACGCGAATCGCAGCAGGGCATTTTTGGGCGCCAGTGGCCATGCATTCATTCGGCCGTCACCGGGCCAGGGGCCATACCAGCAGAAACACCCGTCCCAAGCTGCACATGTAGACTGCCTCGCTGATCTGCTTTGCCGTCGGTGGCAGCGCACCATGGGCAGGCCATTCTGTCGTGCTGGCCCCTCACAGCCCTGCAACCAAGGTCCCTACACAGCATGCAGGGGTCCCGTGTGGCCTGCGCAGCGCCGTGGCAGCAGAAACTGGGCTGCAGCAGCGGGGGAGAGGTGCGGGCGCTCTCCCGTGCGGCGGGGGCATCGCGAGGTGCTGGGGCAAAGACACCGGATTCGCAGGCAGGAATCGCAAACGCAGTTGCCAGACGCACCTGCTTGTCAGGGTCGGGCTGGTGGGTGCAGCACCTTGAGGACATCATACGGCCGAGGGGTCGAGGTAGCGAGGTCGACAGTGGCGGCGCCAGCTGGCGCGATGCACCTCAGATGCGCATGCCTTGGATTGCATGCATTCTGCCACACGTAAAGCGGATCAATTCAGCCAGGACACGGGCTCGCAGCAGCTGCGGACCTGGCTGTTACCCGCACGAGAGGGCGACTTCGCCATGACGCCCTTCGTGCGGT